CGGTTGATTAGCTGACCTTCCTCTAGTCTATCACTTCAAATTAGAGACGCTAGACGCTAAATAGTCGTACAAGTAGCTTTGCGCAAAATTCAACAAACAAATCCATCAAGCTTTGTGCAATTCTTCTCATCTGGTGACCTAAGTTACAACTAGCAGTCTCCACCATTATTGTTCCTAATACTAGATCGCATTCTTAAGAAGAGTCTCCAAGATTAGTGTTCTTACTTACAACTTGAATTCTATAGAAGAGTCTCCAAGCTTAAAATACCTACTGCTAATTAACATTCTGTAGATTAATCTCCAAGATTAGTGAGCCTGTATCCAGCTTACATCCTGGACACGATACTAGTGTTCTTATTGTCAGCTAGCATGCTGCAGACGTGTGTTCAAGCTTGACATTTCTACTTGCGGCTAATTTTCTGGGGATAAGACTCCAAGATTATGGTACCTACCACCTGCTTGCATTTTGTATACAAGTCTTTGCCATTAATGTTTCTAGTTTCAGCAAGCATTCTGTAGAAGAGTTTCCAAGAAAAGTCTTCCTGTATCCAGCAAACATTATTTGTACGAGTGTCACGATTAGTTTTCCAACTTTTAGCTGGCATTCTGTAGATGAGTATCCGAGATTATTATTCTTAGGTTCATCTGGCATTCTGTAGACAATTCTGAACGGTAACAGGTAATATTCTGTATTAGGACTTCCACGAGTAGGTTTCTGTACATAATGTCCACTATTACTGCTCTTACACTCAGCTAGTCTTCTGTACATAGTCTCCAAAAATTAGTGTTCTTACTCTCAACTAGCATTCTGTAAACGTGTTTCCACGATTAGTATTACTAATTCCAATTTCTTTAGACAATTTCCCACGATTATTTTTAATTTTATCTTGTTTTCTGTTAACAATAGCTTAAGATTAATTTGTCTATTTCTAGTTAGTAGTCTTAGTAGAGTCTAAACAATTATTTTTCTTAGTTCCAACTATACAATTCCTTGTTCTTATTTTTCAGTTAGGTTTACCTTCAAGTCGCTTTACTTCCCGAGGAACTATTATCAATTGTCTGATTTATGTTTTTAAATTATGAGTTTTCTTTATTAGATATAATGTTGTTTATTTAGACCTTTTATATATTATATACAAGCAATTTTTTTTCGGGTCAGAATGCAGTTTTTATTTCACTGGATTTTTAAAATAAATATGATAGTTTAACGTAAGAGATAAGGATGTATAATGCATTGGATTGTTTAATAGTTTTTAACACCACCCGATTTTCTTATTTCAGGGTCCGCTCTTCAGAGAATGGTTGCTTACGAAAGTGGTTAATGGTGAAAGAGCTAGTTATACGGCCCCTAAGTTTGCTCGAATGCAGGTATAAAAATCTAGTAAACCTATGAGTGCAATAACATATAGAGAGACTGATGTTTAAACATATACATAAAAACGTGTTTATTTCTTTTATTTACCACCAAGTAAAAATATTTAGCAAAAGTATCGTTCAAGGACTAATAACACAGGCTTGCTATGGTTTTATTGTCTTGGAATTTTTACATATTCTACAGTAATTCCTGTACGCTGAATCCGAAAATGATATCAATTTTTCTCCATCACGTACAGATTTTTCACAAAACGTCATAACGTAATACATAAAAGAAAGACCACAACACGTAGTTTTGAGATTAAAAGACGTAGATTTCACACATAAAAAAAATCAGGAAGAATGAGGATGCGTATACGTCAATGTTCTCCCCTTTTCTTCAATTTGTTTGTAGTTTTATTAATAAACGTAATAATAAAAAATTGCATTGTGGTAAACGAAAAAATAATTTGATCTAAGTAAGTTTTTTATTCTTCCCGATTAGTAAAAAATCCTTACGTGATAGAAAATAAAAGAATATTATTTTAGAAATCTGCGTAGCTGAATTATGGAAAATCCGTTATTAAAACCTAAACAATTTTTCTGAAGTTTAAATTCGCAGGCCTGTGTAATACAAGGACCAATAATACCACTGAGACAATGTCGGATGATTTTAAATACAAGAGAGAAATTTCAATTAAAATCTAATAATTCAGCACAGTTAATGAATGCCATTAAAATAACAATATTCATAAACTGAGAGAAGTATTTAAATTTGTCTCCTTGTTAAAGGTTGGAACTAAAAAAGGCTTTTAATTATCTTGTGTTTTTTTTTAATAATGAACTCCAAAAATACTATTCTTTTCAATAAACCATCCATTATAATTTGTAATGAAATGATGTTCTAATTACTACATGTTCTAGAAATTAAGAAAGGAAAAGTAACATTCATCTGCAAGGCCAAAGATATAATACTTTTAACGTTTTAGGATCGAACAAGAAGTCAGATGCTAGAAGATGTGGTCACAAATCTCCAAAACCATGCTGAGACTGGTCAGATACCAAAACCTTATAGGTTAGTAAATATATTGATCAAATATTTGTAGATCAAAAGATTCCATGGTCTGGTATCAATACCGTACTTAAAGGCCAGCAGATTTAATGGTCAAAAACCAAACATTATGGATGTATAGATATCTTAGTCTTGTACCAAACTTTTATAGTTCAGTAGATTTATTGGTCAAATACTGAAATTATATTGGTCCATAAATTTATTAGTCAGATACCAGCAACTTATAGGTCAGTAAATTTTCCGGTCAAATTGCAAAATCTTACATTTCGGTATGCTTTTATTCCAGTTTTTTCTTGACCAATGCAAGTTTCTTGGTTTAATACCAAAACCTTATAACTTAGTATATTTATTTATTGAGTACCAAAACTTTATACATCAGTAGTTTTTCTTAATTAAATTACCAAAACCTCAGAGGTTAGTAAGTTTCTTGGTCAAATTCTAAAGTATAATAAAGTCAGTAAAGTTATTTATCAGATATCAAAATTATATAAGTCAGCAGCTTTATTGATCAAGTAACAAATCTTAATAAGCCAATTCAAGTTTCTTGTTTAGATATCAAACCCCTAACAGTCATCGGTTCTTTTGATCATATACCAAAATAGTAAGTGTTAACCAAATACTATCATCAGTAGTATTATGGTCACATCATATATTTTCTTATGATAACAAAACGTTATGTTTTTGTAATTTTTTTCATGTATCAAAATATTTCAAATCATAAGCTTTCTTAATCAGATATTAAAAATTTTGCTCGAATTAGAAAAAAACAAACTTATAGGTCACTTCAAATATTTTGGTAAGATAACAAAATGTTATTGGTCAGTAAAGATTCCTTAATTAGGTATCAAAACATTTCGATCTAGTACGTTTATTCGTTATATATCAAAATCTCAATGGTCAGCAACGTATAGTGTTTTCAGGAACCAAAACATTTATGGTCAAAAACTTTCTTGATCGGAAATTGGAAAGTTAATGGTCACAAGTTTTCTTCATTAGATGTCCACACATTTTAGGTCTTGTATTTTGTTTTCTTAATAAGATCTCTAGAACTCGTGTCATTTCGGTTTATTTTGAACAGATACCAAAATCACAAAGCACCAAATTTATATTTCTGTAGATATCAAAACCTTATAGAACAAACGAATTTCTTGGTTGTATACAAAATTTGTATTGGCCGTAGGCTTTTGTCAGAAAACAAAATATGATGTAACAAGAGTTTTATTGGTCAAATACCTCAAAGATCAGTAGAATTAATCTTCAATAAGTCACTATTCGTTAAATATCTCGAATTATACAGATATATTGGTCAAATAACAAAAACTTATAAGTCATAATTAGTTTTAAGTAGCATCAGTAATAGTAATACAAGTCACATTAATTATGGAAATAAAGTCAGCTAGTTGTCTCATTCGAAATCGTAAAGAAAGATAAATAAACATAAACAAATTGCATACAGCACAGAAAAAATAAAATACAAATTCATATCACATTAAAATCATTACCAAGTAGATAAAAAATGTTAAAGGTATACAAATACTTAACAAAATTGAATAAAAGTGAAAATTGCACAAAATTACATAACTTAAGTCCAAGTAAATAAAATAAAATTAACCCTAAATAGCTAAATAATATTAACTCTATGATGCAGTCCTGAAATACTTTACACTGTTCTAGTGGTCGGTTCTGGAAGACTCGTATAAGTAATATTGTAATTTGTTTTCAAAAGAAGATAACTAATTGATCCCTTTATTTAATAAAATGTTAAATGTTGTACATAACACCATACAAAAGCCTGTGTAAGAGATTTATTGATCAAGTACAACAACAAAAAATAAATAACACAAAAGTGATTTCAACAATACAAATGCACTACACTCTGTAGTGGCTTGTATTATTTTTTCATCTCTTATTGTTATGTAATAAAGAGACAAAATTACCAAAGAAGTGGCCGTGTTCCTTGCCCTGAGGGCGTTCACATTTCACGTACGTCATGGATCTTTTGCGGTTCTTCTTCAAAGGGCAAAAATCAAATCTTCTCTTCTTTGGAGGAACCTGCTCTTGACTATATGCCGTGCGTTTTTTTATTGTTACACCACACTTCTCCATTGAGGCAATTACAGTTTTAGGAAAGTTGGGACTACCTTCCAACTATCTTCTCATGTGTGGTGTGAACAGTTCCCTCACAACATCACTTGTGCGTCAGGCCTTGTCCATAGTCTGGATGTTATGATGTGTACAGCAAGTAAACATTCAGGTTATCCACATCTAGAACAATGTACCACAGAAACATAGACCACCTTCTGGATTGTCGCTTACAGGAATATGTACGAACCATCTGCTTCATCACATAGACACCACCCTTTGTCCTGTTGTGATACTTGATGACATCTGGTTTTTTTCTTGCTCTTTTGATCTACTGTCTTGTCGTAATGCATTGTGCTCATCATAATTACAACCTTGCCTTTCTTGGATACATAACTCACTAGTGATGTTGTCTTTGAAGCCAAATTCAGTACTGTGAATTTCTCGATTCTTGGAAGCCTTCATCAAAGCAGGGATGTCTGGCTTGTTTTGGCAGAGCATCCCCAGAAGTGTCATCCTTTTCCGAGTAGTGCTTCAGCAAAGTGCATGCTTCTGAAAAAATTATCTGTTATGTTGTGCACGATGTTCTTCAGTTGAGTACACAATAGTTGTACGATGTTTGATCTCAGGTTTCTCTGGACTTATTCAAATGGCTTTTTCCAGTGAAGACAATCCCATCTATAGCATAGCGGTTTCTTGCATCACAAAGCCATAAAATCTTTATCACATACTTCGCTGGCTTGCTTGGCATGTATTGAATGAACTTGCATCTCCTCCTAAAAGACATAAACTGCTCATGTACTATAATACAATCTCTGGGAACGAACCTCTTACGGCAATTAGCAGCAAAAATATCCCACATGTATCTGAAAGCTACCATGTGGTATGTTTGCAGATGAAAATCTCTTGTCCTCAAACCTCGGGGAATGATGGACAGCTTCGTATCTTTTGACAGACATTATGGTTTGATACATTAGGTTATAAAGTGGGTTCCCAAACAGATCCATAGTAGAAACATCCCAGTTCTTTTTATATAAAGAAAGGAAAAGGTCCACAAACGCCAGAAACTCGTTTTTAGATATATCTTTTCATTTTTTCTCTGTACTTGCTGCTGTTCTTCGTCCTTCAAGTTTAAACACTTGTATGACTTATGTGATTTTCTTCATAATACAGTCCCTACTTTCTACTTTTCTACTGAAATTTTGTACCAATACTAAGTGGACCCTGAAAGTGTGCACACGGGTATTATTACTTATCCACGTGTGCGCGCGCATGCGTACATTTTTAATTCCATATATTTCCTTCCTTTCATATTAGGTGCCAGGCTTCGTTTCAGCTAATGGTTTGCATCTGACAATGTAGAAACCAGCGGCCAACTTCTTGAACTTTCATATTTTCTAGTCAAGAGGTTTCCACTATAAATGGCAATAATCGTATCAGGTGAGTATTCTGATGACTGGTGTAGCTAATGGAAACACTCCTAGTGGCTGCTTGATCAAACAATGAGCAAAGACACTTCATCCTCGAGCTTTGAAAACATAAACTAAAATAAAGTTTAGATCTACTATTTGGAACAACAAGTTTCAACATTTTTACGTGTCCTCTTCATCCCAACTTTTGTTTATTTTAAGTATGGTAGTACTTAATAGTAGGGATCGACAAGGATTTACGTGCCGAAAAACAACCCTATTGAATTTCTAAGTGAAAATCGACCATTCAAAGTATTGGTTATGATATATTATGTGCATATATACTAATAATACGCTAAAAAGGTTGCTAACATTTCTGATATAACAATTCAAAAATTTCTAAAACAACAGCTTTTTTGTCTACTACTTACCTACCTGATCACGTCAGCGAGGCTAGCGCCTAGGAGGCTCGGACTATCGCTACAAGATTTCTCCTGCTTACCTGACTGGTTTGTGGGTATCTGCTTTTGATATTTTGATAAAAATTCATATATATATTTATATACAGGTATAATATAAATGGTTAACATATAATGCACGTATTTAAATACCTTTTCAATCCAATTCAACCCAACAGATGGGGCTAGATACCGATGAATAGCCACGCGATAGTTTTTAATGGTAAAGTATATATCTTATATAGGTATAACATAAAAAGTAAACAAATAAGAATACTAAAACTTATGAATTTTAAAATGAAGTATGGATCTTGCTATAAAAAGTAATGTAACAAGAGTATTAACAAATTTTTAATATTAAAATGAAGTAGTGTAGTTGCTATAAAAAGTAATGAAACTACAATCACAAATTTATAAAATTTAATCCCTACTTTGCAGCTTTATACACTTATGTGTAGGCCAAAGTAAGGATTAAATTTTATAAGTTTGTGATTGTTGTTTTAATTCTTGTTTCATTACCTTTTATAGCAGGATCCCTACTTCATTTTAAAATTCATAATTTTTAATACTCTTGTTTCATTTCAAGTGCGTACAGTCCACTTAAATTTTAATACTTCTTAACATACAAGTAGTAGAAGTAATGTCTGATAAGTATTACAACTGTGTGCAGTTTCTTCTAGATCATGCAATATCAGCGTTCATGAGTTGCTAGTGTATAAGTCGTATACACAATTACAAACTCCAAGTTGGCCTTTACCACTGGTAATTTGAACAAAGCATGCTTCAAGGACTTGTATATATGTTCACATTCCTGCATCTACACAAAGCAAGCATCATCTTTATTCAGCACAGAGAGAGGTATGGCTACCTTGTAGAAACTAGCAACAAACCATCAGTAATATGACACAAATCAAAAAGCAGCAAATTTCTTATTTGGCCTCAGACAGAGTTAGTTCTGATTACTGGATCAATGGATAATCCACACATGGCTACTATGCCATCAAGAAATTTCATTTCTGTGTGCATTAATGCACGCTTTCCTCATTTAAATTTC